GCTAAAACACGGTCCATTAAAGTATAATTCCTAAAGTAAACGGCGCACCCACTACGCGCACACTGTATGCACACCCTAAACCCTAAACCCCCCAACGCTAGACTCTGAAGGAACCCTGGAAACAGCCCTGTAAGTCCCAGGAACCCTTCCAAGGTCCCCCGAACCCACTTCAGGATGACGCGGCCGTGCAGGTCCTTGCCTTCCACAGCCGTTGCAATCTCTGGTCTTTGGACAGAGGGCGGGGAATGGGTTTAGGGTGTAGGGGGTTTTGAAGGTCCGGGTACGGGATTTAGGGATGCAAGGTTTAGGGTGTAAGGTTTCAGGTGGCTTTACAACTAGGGTTTTGGGGTTTAGGGTTTCTTGTTTACGTTCTGTGTGAGCGTTTCAGGGTGAACGAGATTAGTGAACCTTACTGTAAACTTCAAAATGTACATTCTTGTATTTGAGAAGCTTGTTCCTCTGACATTTCAGAGAACCCTACATAGCACCCGTACAGGAGCCCTATATAACACCCGTAACGACACCCTTATGGCACCCTTAAGCGAACCCCCCATTTCACCGTTCATGACAGGACCCTAAACCCTAAAAACCCAAACCAAGCCCTTCATGGCAGGACGTTCTTGACCTGGAGCAGCCCTTTACCCTCCGCTTTCATCTGCGCATCCCTGGGCCGACTGGTGGTGTCCACGTGGCGCTGAGCTCGAACCTGAAGCCGTGGCAAGGCGCGGCTTCACTTGAGTGTTCCGGGGTTTGGGGCTGCAGGGTTTGAGGGTTTCGGGTCTAGGGCTGCCGGGTTTCGCGGTTAGGGTTTAGGGTTTTAGGGCTTCGGGGTTAGGGTTGAGGGGTCTGCAGCCTTGACAAGGGCACTTGCGATAGATTCAGTTCTAGTGTACCCCAGAAACTCACTCCAATTAATGCTCGGATCAATCTTGTGGATCCGAACCCCAACAGGGTATTAGGCCGTGATCCGGTCTGTTCTCGGATACACAGGTGAATCCCAACTCAATGGAAGCAAGAAAGTCTGCAGAGGGATGTGCATCCATCAGCGAATATGAGGTTGGTTGCTTAGGCAACTGCTCATGCAACGCGAAGCATGTGTTAGGCCTTTGGGATATCTTGGATTTCCCCTTTTTTGGGCTTCAGAGGATCTTATGTACGATTATTTTTCCGAGACCTCAAAGGTCCAAATTAGGCTTCTAATGTAGGGGCCTCGGCCTTAATAATTAGGATAGGTTTTTTGGGGTATATTATATACTATAACGTATATTATATACTATAACTAAACTAAGGAGCCCCCCAAACCCTATGCCAAGTATCAAGGCCCCTATATTAACTGTCTTGCAGGCATGGCGGCAGGCAGTTGTGATGCGGTGACTGTCGCGATTTTGAAGCGAGGGAACTGGCGGCATGCCTGCGATGTCGCCGCTGGGATTTGTTGTTGGGATTTCGGTTCAAGGGGGAACCCCAAACCTAATATAGGGGCCTGAATGATTACCAATACTATTTTGTGGGTTCCTTGTTATAATCATAGTACAATATACCCCAAACCCCTCTTCTAATTAGTAAGGCCCCTACATTAAGCCGTTATAATTACGGTATAGGCCCCCTACATTACGAAAGACGCTAAACCCTAAATCTTAAGCCCTCTTCTAATTATTATTACGGCCCACTACCATTACGAAAGATTAGATGGCAGTCGCCTTAAACGTTGGACAATCCCAAAGGCCCAAACGTCAAAACCTCCGGACAAACAAGAGTGTCTAATTTATGGGGGATATTTAGGGCTTCTTGAGTTGGGGCCTTCAGGGCTTGAGCGTTTTTGAAGGATTTCGTGGTTTAGGGGTTGAGGGGTGTCTTGAACCCCGGATTTTGCGAACGGCCGGCAGGCAACAAGAACTTAAGCCCGCCAGACAGCAGGCCCGAACCGTGGAAGTCAGAAAGATTCAGTCCTGTAGGGTTTAGGTTTTAGGGTTTAGGGTTTAGGGTGGTAGAAGCCAGAAAGTTGGAGCATGATTATCCTCGGGCACTTAAGGTAGAGTATAAGGAATCCTAGCACTAATCCTGCTAAACCCATGTTCCAACTTTCTGGGATTCACTGTAAACTCTTCAGGTGTCAAAGTGGCCAACTGAGGAGCGAGAAGCTTTCAGAGAGCTCTCTTTGTGCTTTCATGTTCGGAAGGTTGCAAGAGGTTTGGGTTTGTGGCCCCTAAACCCTAAACTCCTAATAGCGGGGCCTTAGTAATTAGAATAGGGTTTTGGGGCCCATTGTACTATAATTATAACCACCGAAATAGTATAGGCTAGTTTTCAGGCTCCTGCATTAGAGCCCGAAGACCCTAAACCCAAAGCTCTGAAGCAAACTCTAGGCCCGAAGCCCGAAGCCCCAAAACCTTGAAAACCAAAAAACCACCAAAAGCCCTAAAGCCCAAAACCTGAAAGGGTTTAGTTTAGGGTTAGGTTTTAGGGTTTAAAGGTTCAGGGTTTAGGATTTAGGGTTAAGACCCCCAAAAGCCCTAAAGCCCTAACACCCTAAACCCAGCACCAGAAGAGGTTTGGGTCCGTGGCGCCATGTTCGGCACCGACCTCGCTCTCCACATGTGCCCAAGACGAAGGCTTAGTTAGGGTTTAGGGCTCTTAGGGTTTCGGGTTTAGGGTTCAGGCTGTTGGGTGTCTAGGGTTTAGGGTTTAGGGTTTAAGCGTAGTTAAAGGCTCATGGGACTTAGCAACTAAGGTTAGAATTAGGGTAACTATACCTATAACTACGTATAACCCCAATTAAGGTACTTGTAACCTTACTTACTGAGTTCTGCATAGTCTTGATACATTACTCCTACAATCATATAGCAATACGAGTCGTCTGTATAAAACGTTAGACTGACTTGTAGCATATTTTGCAGTAGTACCAAAACTGGACTTTAGTATTGATGTAAGACTTTGTTTTACTTCAATATACATATCATGTCAATACAAGATAGAGTAATACAATGCCTGTATGACACATCGCATCAAGTCTAATCTAAGTCATGTCAATACGGTATGTTGCTTCCACCTGTCCATTGCTTCGAAGCCCACTTGTACGTAAAG